TCCGGCTTTATTGAAAGTTCCCCAAATGGGACAAGTCTTTTTTTCCGCTTATGCCCTCTTTTCAGTCTCCAGAGCCTAGGCACTGAGTCAGCCAGGCTGCAAGGTTGAGGGCACAGTCCTCCAGACTGCCAGGAATTCTGACCCACTTTTAGAGGGGCTTACCCAACTGTGCAGTCTCAGGGGACAGCCCCTACAAGACTGTCCTCACTTCAGACACCAGCTGCAAGTTCAGGGGTCCCCAGGACCACCCTCACTTTCGACCAGCTGGCTACGAATTCAGGGGTCCCCAGAACCACCCTCACTTTACACCAGCTGGCTACAAATTCAGGGGTCCCCAGGACCACCCTCAGGTTTGATCATTTGCTAGCATGACTCACAGAACTCAGGAAAGCTCTACACCTAGGATTACAGTGTGTTAGTTTGTTTTTTTTATAGTGAAAGGATACAAATTGAAACAAGCCAAAGAAGGAGACAACAGGGCAGCGTCTGGGAGAGGCTAAATGGGAACTTCCAGCTGTCCCTTCTCCGTGGAGTCACCTCTTCCCAGCCACAGTGAGTGACAGTATGCCCAGAGTATTACTAACTGGGGGCCTTGAGCCTTTGATGTCCAGAGTGGTTACCGGGGCTCCCTCACCTACTGCCCATGTGGCTGACCTTTAGTCTCCAAGCCCTCTGGGAGGTCAGGCTAATAGCTTTAGTCCCAGTTCCTCTGGAGGTTGGAACTGATAACAGTCTCTTTCAGAGGCCTCATCACAGATCACACTGTCAGACTGTCCAGCGGCCAAAGCCCCCAGGCAAACAAAGACTCCCCATCAGGCAGGCCATTCCAGGGGCCAGACCCCTCTTTAAGTCAGGTTAATCCTTCACAGTACAATAGGGCCAGCTCCAAAGTAAGTGCCCAAAGACACAGGGCGGTGTGGCTGTTAGAAGCCTGGCCTTGATTTTAAAGCCTCCAGTTCCAGCTCTGGCTTTGCCACTCCTGAGTTTAGTGATCTTAGCAAGTTGCTTTACCCCTGTTGATAGCCACCAGCCAAAGACACCCAGGAACATCACTGTAGTTGAATGAATTTGAATTTATTGGTACTTGTTGCAACCAAGGAGAACGTACACTGTGGGGAACCATGGAGTGTCTCAGTACGTAGGAGGTAGGAGGGGTTTATTGTAGGATTTGGGCTTGTATGAGGTGATTTACAGTGTAAAAAATGAATAAACAGAAACCTCAGGTAGAGTCGGGAGGCCAGAAGGGGGTGTTCTCATGCACTATGAACAATAGCAGAGACCAACAGGAAGAAGAAAGACTCCTTTCCTGGCAAGGACTCAGCCAATGAAAAGCCATGGACTCTGCTTACTAGAGCCCTCCCAGCTTCCTTTTCCTCTCTGTAAAAGCATTCTCTTTCCACTGCAGTGTAGGGGCTTTGCACACACACACCCCCAACTCTACGGAGACAGAAGCTCCTGCACTTGGGAGCCTTCCAAACCTCACCCTATGTCCTTCTTCAGGCTGTTCATCTGTATCGAATAAACTGGTAAACGTGTTTCCCTGTATCCTGTAAGCCATTCTAGCTAATTATCGAATCCCAGAAAGGGGTCATGGGAACCCTAACTTATAGCTGGCTAGTCAGAAATACAGATAACAACCTGGGACTTGCAATTGACACGTGAAGCGGATGCAGTCTCATGGGGCTGATCCCTTAACCTGTGATCTGACGCTAACTCCAGGTAGATAGTGTCAGAATTGAGGTGAATTGTAGGACACCCAGCTGATGTTGCAGAGAATCGCTTGGTGTGGAAGAAAGCCCCACTCCTTTGGTGACCAGAAGTGTCAGAGGTGTTCTGTTTGAGAAATAAAGGAGAAACTGGAGTGTGTTTTCCTACTCAAGCCAGTAGATACTGTCATCGACATCACTGAAAAATAAGAGTTTGTGATAAAATGGAGAAATTGTAGAATCAAAATAAAGCCAAATACATGAGAGACAGAGGGAAGGATGTCCTGAGGAGAGGTCATCCGATGAGGGCCACGCTCTGTCACTGTGACACCTACATGCTGCCAGGGCAGCCAGAGTTGTATGTGAGTGTGTGTGTGTGTGTCCCCTTTGAGTGTGGGAGATCATAAGTGAGTATAGTAGCAATACATAAACTGGATTATATACCATGACCAAGTGGGATTTATCCCAGTAGTGCCAAGTTGGTTTAACATCCAAAAAATCCATTATTGCCACATAGCACATTAAAGAATAAAGGGGAAAAAATATGATTGTCTCAATAGACACAGAAAAAGCATTTGACAAAATTCAACACCTTGCATGATAAAAAACACTAAAGGAGCTAGGAATAGAAGGGAACTACCTCAACCTGCTAAAGGGCATCTAAGAAAAAATGCTTTCCTTCCAATATTATGTACAAGACAAGTATGTCTGCTCTTGCCACTTCTAGTCAACATTATACTGTTCTAGTCAGGAAAAGAAAAAGAAATAAATGGCATCTGGAGCAGAAATAAAGAAGTAAAACCATCTCTATTTGCAGGTGACATGATCTTATATGTAGAGAATCTTAAGGAGTCAAAAAAGAAAAAGAGAAAACTATTAGAGCCATTAAACAAGTTCAGCAAGATTACAGGATGCACGATTAATATACAAAAGCATCAATTTTATCTCTTTATAATAGAAATGAGCAATTCAAAAAGAAAATTAAGAAAAGAACTCAATTGATAATAGCATTAAAGAGAGCAAAATACTTAGGAATAAACTTAACAAAACAAGTGTAAGACTTGCTCACTGAAAACTACAAAACATTGTAGAAGGAAATTAAAGACCTAAATAAATGTAAAGACAGCACATCTTCATGAATTGGAAAACTTAAAATTAAGACGCAGTGCCCCCCAAATTCATCTATAGCTTCAATTCAATCTCCATCAAAATCCCCAGCTATCTTCTTTGCACAAATTGACAAGCTAATCCTAATATTCATATGGAAATTCAAGGGACCCTGAATAGCCGAAACAATCTTGAAAAGAAAGAACAATGTTGGAGGACTCATACTTCCTGATTTCAAAACTTACTACAAAGCTACCGTAATGAAGACACTGTGATATGAGCATAAGGATAGACAAACAGATCAATGAAATAGAATCAGAGTCCAGAAATAAACGCTCACATTTACAGCTAAATGATTTTCAACTGAAGGTGTCAAGACAATTCAATGGGAAAAGAACAGCCTTTTCAGCAAATGGCTGGAAGAACTGGATATTCACTTGCAAAAGAATGAAGTTGAACCCCTACTTCACACATATACAAATGTTAACTCAAAATGATGGAAGACCTAAATGTAGGGGCTAAAACGATAAAACCATTAGAAGAAAGCATAGGTGTAAATCTTCATGATCTTGGATTAGGCAATGGCTTCTTAAATATGCCACCAAAAGCACAAGCAGCAAAAGAAAATTTAGATAAACTGGGAACCATCAAAATCAGAAACTTCCGTGCTGCAGAGGATATCATCAAGAAAGTGAAAAGACAACCCACAGACTGGGAGAAACACTGCAAATCATATATCAAATCAGAGAACACATGAAGAACTTTCTCAATTCAACAAAAAGACAAATAATCCAATTAAAATGGGCAAAAGATCTGAATAGATATTTCTCTAAAGAAGACATACAGGGACTTCCCTGGTGGCACAGTGGTTAAGAATCCACCTGCCAATGCAAGGGACACGGGTTCAAGCCCTGGTCCAGGAAGATCTCACATGCTGTGGAGCAACTCAGCCTGTGTACCACAACTACTGAGCCTGCGCTCTAGAGCCCATGAGCCACAACTACTGAGCCCACGTGCCATAACTACTGAAGCCCACATGCCTAGAGCCTGTGCTCCACAACAAGAGAAGCCACTGCAATGAGAAGCATGCACACTGCAACGAAGAGTAGCCCCCGCTCGCTGCAACTACAGAAAAGCCCGCACACAGCAATGAATAACCAACGCAGCCAAAAATAAATAAATACATACATTTATAAAAAAAAAAAGATATACAAAAGGCCAATAAATATGTGAAAAGATCCTTAACATCAACATTATGGAAACACATACAAGATACCACTTCACACACACTAGGATAGTTATAATAAAAAAGACAGACAGTAACAAGAGGTGGCAAAGATGTGGAGAAAGTGGAACCCTCATACAATGCTGACAGGAATGTAAAATGGTGCAGGTACTTTGGAAAACAGTCTGGCAGTTCCTCAAAAGACTATGACCCAGCAATTTCACTCCTAGGTGTACATGCAAGAGAATTAAAAACATTGTCCACACAAAGAATTGTATATGAATGTTCATAGCAGCATTATTCATAATAACCAAAAATAGCAGAAACAATCCAAATGTCCATCAGCCCATGAATAAAGTGTGGTATATCTATACAGTGGAGTATTACACAGCCGTAAAAGGGATGAAGTACTGATACCTGCTACATCATGGATGAATCCTGAAAATATTACGCTAAGTGAAAGAAACCAGACACAAAAGGCTACATATTCTATGATTCCATCTATATGGAATGTCCCAAATAAGCAAATCTAAAGAAACAGAAAGTAGATTAGTGGTTGCCTAGGGCTGGAGTGGGTGTGGTTTGAGGTTGACAGTGTAGGGATGAGGGGTTCCTTTTTGGGTTAATGAAAATGTTCTCAAATTGATTGTGGTGATGCTTTCACAACTCTGAATATATAGTAAAAGCCATTGAATTGCATACTTTAGATGGATGAATTATATGGCATGTGGATTATATCTCACTAAAGTTGCGTCAAAATAGTATAAGAGGAGAGGAGCAGAGGCAGTAAGGGGAGCCTGTCAGGACGTACTGTGATTCCTGATACCTGGAGCCACCTTCCAGGCCCTCCCCTGCCCTGACTGTCTCCACTCCTGGCCTGGCACCTCCAGCTTGCACCTCAACTCCATTCTGTTCAGGCATGAAAAGAACTACGTGTAAATGTTTGGTCGAACCAGCTGTTCTATATGCTGGCCTGGTAAGGAGTTTGTTGTCAGCTCCTCCCAAACCAGCTATGAAGGTGAGGGAGAACTCTGGGTGGGACACAGCCCCTCTGGGCGATGAGACCAGCCGCAGAGGCGGCCCAGGCCTGGGAGAGCCCGGGAACTCCAGCCCCGTGAGGGCCCTGGCTGTACCCACTGCAGGTGGGTTAAGCCCCCAGCCCCCAGGATCAGAGTGTGGCCCTCAAATCTTGGGGACCCCGAGAAGTCTCAAGTCTGCGGCCCTGGAGGCCTGGCCCCTGGGGCCCGGTGCCTCAGAGAGGTCCTCAAAGCCTGCAGGATGGTGCCCTGGCTGTTCCGTACGTTGTAGTCACTGAGCTGCAGCAGGCGGTCAAAGTCTTCCTCCTTGTAGGTCATGTTGAACATGGAATAGGGGGAGTTGTCCCCCGTGAGATCCACCTGGCCGGCCGGGAGCTCTGCAGGGCTGCGCTGGACACCTGTCCAGGGGTGGAAGGGGGTTAGGCGCAGGGCCCAGAGGCCTCCACAGCTGGCAGAACGGCTCCTGGTGGCTGGACACAGGGGTGAGCTGCTCCCCACTGAAGGGGTTCCTCCCAGCCCCGTGTCCTTTGCCCAGAACTATAACTGTGGATAGCAGGATGCTATTTTGAGGTATGACGCATGTGCTGCTTCCCACATTTTCTCACAGCATTACACATCTTCCACTGTTCAGGCCCCCACCCTGGTATCCACCTCACCCCCAGGGGTAAGGCGGAAGCAGCAGAAAAGCAAAGCCCTTTAGGTTAGTGAGTGGATTCTTAAAACTCATGATGGAAGCAAGCGTCTGAAAACCAAAGAGCTTTTGCTTTGCAAGAAACAGTCTTTGTTGAGAGAGAAAGAGACTCCCGAGATGCGGGCTTAGCACGTTAAGAGTAAAGCCAGAAGGTTTGGAATTATGGCAGGAACTAGAAAGCCAGATGATTGCACAAAGGCAGAATTAGGTTTTCCCATCAAAAGGGGATAAAAGTCTGACCAGTTGGTGGGAGGCGAGGATTAGAAGGGATGTGATGAGAGTTCAGATTTTGGGGGCCCTGGAGTAGAGGCCCAGCTCCCTGAGAAAGGACCCCAGAATGGTCTGCAGTAGAATGACAGAGAGGCCAATTGTGACCCCAGACAGGTTTAGGGGAATCTGAGAGAGAGGGGACTGGGGCTTCTCTTTTCTGGCTGTCCAGCCTGGGGGGCCTTTAGGAAGTCCTCCAACAATGTGGTGCACAGTAGTGGTGGACGGTGACAGTGCAGGGATTCCCATACATGGCCCCTGCCATAGAGCGGGGGAGCAGAGCCCAGTTGTAGTGACGGGCATGGGGAGGGGGAGGCCAAAGGAGCCTGGGGTCATGACAAAGAGGACACCAGCCCAGTGGCTTTGCAGACGGAGGGCCTCTGCAGGGATCTGGGCATCCACAACAGGCCAGGGTATTGCCATGTCCCAGACTGGGTGGGACTAGCCTTAAGACTCCTGCCTCTGCTGGCTGCAGGGGCACTGGGAGGGCCCAGAGCGGTGCCTCTGAGGGGCCAGGCTTCCAGGCTGTTAGGAAGGGGGGCTGCCTCACCTGGGGCTGAGTGGTCCCTGAAGGAGGCGTTTACCAGCGGGAAGTGAAGCACGACAGGGGCATCAGGGCAGGTGGGGTCTGAGAAGAGGTGGCACTCCCAGGGCTGGCGTCGGTCCTGAGGGCTGGGCTCCACACGGGGGAACGGCAGCCCCCGGGCCCGGCAGTCTAGCTCCGTCTGCTGCAGCACCTGGCGGGGCAGAGGGGGCTCAGAGAGCAATGGCTACTTCCCAGTCATCCCAGGTCAGCACTCTAGAAGATGCTAGGACAGCTCCAGCCCAAACTGACTGCTCAAGACAACCTGATTCTGTCCTGCTCGTGGCCCAGTCAAGCTACACAGTGCCTCGGAGGGAAGCAAAGGATCCCGGTGGTCTGCAGTATTGTTTGACTAAAATCTTTAGGTGGGGCACAGATCTTGCACCCCATATGGGATTGCTGTTTCTGGGATATTCAATCTCAGAGCCTCCAGGGCCTCAGTAGGGGACCCACTTCTGTCTCACAGCCCTACCCACCCCCTTCCCCAGAGTCCTCAGGGAGGCCCCTGGGAGGATGGACGTGGACAGGCCAGGCTCTCCTCCTAGCTCTGTCCAGCGGTTCCTCTTGGGGTGGGCATGGCGAGCTTCCTCCCTGTCTACTGTTCTTGGGAGCCCAGGGCCCCAGCACCTCCACAGCCCTTCCCAACCCTGGCAGGAGCCTTTGAGTCACAGCCTGTCATCTCTCCCTCCCCCTGGGGACCCAGAAGGTCTGGGCCAGTGGCCCTGCTGCTCGTCCCTGGAGCATGGCCTGGGTGGGCGAAGGGTCTGGGGTTCCCATGGGGTGACCAGCGGCACCTCAAATGGCGAGGATAGAGAGTAGTCGAAGGATAGTATGAGGTCCAGCCTGCGGCCTGGCCGGAACATGGAGGGACAGCTGGTGTTGAGGAAGTAGCCGGCATCCACCAAGCAGAGCTGGGGCTCCTGCGGGGTCAGCTGGCTGGCGGAGGAGTCTACCTGGCTGTCTGATGGGAGAGGTAGCAATAGTCAGGGGCAGCAAGTCCAACACAGATCACCCACCCACCCCTTATACTGCACTCGCCTCCACGTCCCCTTCTAACCCCTGGTGTCACTCCCTGAATGCACGTGCCAGCCCAGCCCTTCCCAAGACCTCCTCCAAGCCATACCCCAGGAGTGGATGCTGGGACCCCCCAGGCCTCTGCCAGCCCCAGCCATGGTCCATCTCCACCCAGGAGCCCAACCTTGTTACCTGGGGACACATGGCAGTGGCCCTTACCTGCCCAGGTGGAGAAGTCCTTCTGGGCACGGTAGTCCTGGTGCAGCTGGAGGCCCTGGAGGAAGTTGGAGCTGTGCTGGTAGAGTGGTCTGCTCGTCAGGAAGCCCTTCAACATTTGGGCTAGCGCTGTTCCAGGCTGGAGCCACAAGGCCTCCAGCCCTGAAGAGGTCCCCGAGGAGGGAGGAGATTCCTCTGAGCCCAGAGAAGCAGACATTGGTCCATTGAGGGGTCTGGAAATGCCTGGCCCTCCCTCCCCCGACAGTCCCCCCCGCCGACCCTGTAGCATCTGAAGGGGAAGCGGCTTCACCACAGGCTCCCCTCAGTGCCTCCCTCTCCTACCCAGGCTCCTGATCTCGTCCTTGATGTGCTGCTTCCAGGCATCACTGGAGCTGGTGAGGTTATACCAGGCATCCAGCAAGTTCAGGGAGAAAATGTTGCTCCAGATACCTGAAGGCCAAATTCCCAAGAGAGGTCAGCCTTAGGCCTCAGTGCCCTGCCCCCCATCACTTGGAAGGCAGTGGTCCCCACCCTTGAGTGCAGATGGAGAATAGGAGGGGGAGCAGGCTGCCTCTGCAATGGCCCTTCCCCCCAGCTCAATATCTGCCCTCCCCGGGTGCTCTGCCCAGACCTGGGTACAGGGCATTCAGAGTGATGACCACTCACCTTCCAGGAAGCAGATGCGGGACTCAGGGATCCTCCTCATCAGCCGCCCCATGAAGAAGTCCGAGCCGAAGAGCTCAGAGGGGATGAAGGCGCCGTACTTCAGGAACCCGACCTCATAGGGGGAGAACTCGACCCACTCTGAGGGGCCAGGAGGGAAAGGCAGGAATGAAAGGACAGTGGGTTTGGGGAGCCCCAGCTCTGACAAGGGCCAAAGACACTGCTCCCCAGCAGGCCTCCGCCTCCTCCCCGCCCGGCTGACTGTTGAGCTGACCTCTCCCCCACCCAGCCCCTTGTCTACATCCTCACCACCACAGCCCTGCCCCAGGACGGCGAGCTCTGCTGGCTGCCTCATCAGGCAATCAGAACCACCATCCTTCCAGAAGGCTGGCCATCTGTGCAGGAGTTTCCTGTGTGAATTCTCTGGGGGCCCTCAGGGTGCAAAGGAGGTGTGCATGCACGTGTGTGTGTTGGAGGGTGGAGTGGACAGGACTGAGGACTGTACCCTTGAAGTCCGGGGTCTGCAGATTGTTCTCTTTGACATTGAGGCTCAGGTAGAGGGGCAGAGGGTTCTGGCCCCGCTCCAGCGCAGCTCTCTGTCCTGACAGCTTCTGATCCATCACCTGGGGTGGGGGCGTGAGGGCCAAAGTAAGGTTGGGAGCACCCTGGAGGCAGGGTGGGAGCACAGGCTGGGGGTGAGGAGCGTCGGGGTCTCCATGTAGGGCTGTGCACTGCGTATCTGCAGACAGCACTGTTCACAAGGACCACAGTGTCAACAGTGACACCCACCCCTGCATCCTGTGGTTCCAGTGGCCCATCTTTATGGGTTGAAGCATGGAGGGTACATGGACCCTGATGCACAGGCACAAAGGCACGCGCACGCGCGCACACACACACACACACACACACACACACACACACACACACACACAGACGCTGCTTTCCAGAAAGGACTCAGAAATCCCCCTTCAGTGTACATTGTAAGCTTTGCCAGGGGATGGGCTGCCCCTTCTAGGTTCTTCTGGACCAGTTCAAGTTTCAGCCCCTGCCAAACACTCTCCTGACATCCTCATCTCCACCTTTCCTGCTTTGCACAGTACAAAGTTGTACCCCACTATTTATCCTTGCCTTTTGTTTCTAATTTTCCCTCCAATAAAACTCCAAGCTCTGGCAAGGACTCTGGCTTGCCTTTTGGGGAAGCCTCCACAAAGCCTCACTGAATTCTAGGGGAACAGAAAGGTCTCCTTCTATCCCGGACCAGAAATGAAAATAGAGTTCATCTCAAGCCTCAGCAAGGTTAAGGGTGGTGACTGCCTGGAACCCCACCTGGGGAAGGATCCTGCTGCCACAGGCCCTGGGTTGTTACTCATGGAGCAGTATGTGTACCATGAACGCACCACCTCTCTCTTAGGCTCTCTGAGCTGGAAGGCACCCCACTCAGCAGCTAGACCTAGGAGGTTCCCACCCTGCCATATCAACCTTTATCATCAGATTTACTTAGAGTTAAATATACAGATGACTGGGTCTCTTCTGAGAATCATCAGAAGTCACTTAGGAATTTGTCTTTTTAAAACCTCCCCAGGTGATTCTGATGATCAGCCGGATGTGCATCCCGGGACTCTAGCCTAGCCCATCCAACAGGGAGTCCGGCTCCCACACCCATGACAAAGCCTCAGCACACCTGGTGTGCCTCCCTTCCCCTGGCAGCCCCTGTCACACAGTGAGAGCACTCAGGTCACAGTCACCTTTTCCTCCAGTTCTTCAGTGGTACCCAATATGACTTGAGTTATGGGGAATCCACAGGAAATTCTCCAAATATGGCTCAAGCGGCCTGGCACTGAGCATTTGTCATATTTACAAGTTAGTCCTGTGGGTGTGAGTATGTCTGTGTGCTGAGGAGGGAGGGGGCTTGATGAATACCTGTGATTTCCTTTCTCAAAGTCTTTTATTTAGGAATCCTGTTTGCCCCCCTACCCAGTTTCCAAATGAGGGTCCCCAACCCTGCAGAACACCACTCTGATGACTCAAGGGTCCCACCTGGAGTGTGGGAGCTGGGTGCAGTTGGTGGTGTGTCAGTGTGATCTGGGTCTTGCACAGGGTGGCACTAAACTGTATATAAAACCTTTTGTCTAGAGTTGAAGAAAAATATGTAAGACCTTTTTAACTCAGGAAAAGATAGGAGAAAAACTGTAAGTTTCTCCTTGAAGAATGGTGAGCAGCTTCTAAGCCTTTCAGTGTTTGCCAGCAAGAGAGTAAAAACAAAGTTTCAAAGAGATAATTTGAGAAGCACTGATTACAACAGGTGTATTTTGTAAGTGGGTTTTTATAAAAACTGAAGTAATATTATAAAAGTATATAGACTAAGTAAGTTGTTCTAAGTTTCAGGGTATAATATTTCTCTAATAATACTTAGTATTAACGAAATTGTGATTTGTTATATATGGAGTTATATTTTCTGACCACTTAAAATGACTTTTGGTACTGTAGCTCAGTATAGTATAGAGATAATAAATACTTATTTTATCTAAAGGCAAATTTGAAATCAACACTAAATTTTTCTCGATAAAGAATTATTTTTAAAATGTGAGCTTTAAGAGAGAAAGCATGATGACTAAGAAAAAAAAAGAAACAATATTTGCAAAGCTTTCACATTGTGACAAAATTTTTTAAACTGCATGGGTACTCATTTCAAAGAATGCGTTGATGTTCAGTAATATCGCAAGGATTTTTATTCTTGTGAACAATAAGTTTGTCTTTTTTAAAATGACTACAAACTGTGTACATAAAACCACGTATTAAGTCATTACTGGAGGATCAAATGTAATTAAATATGTCTTCTTTACAGCCTAGGATCAAATTGCATTTTCTAGCACTTCATAAAATGAACTGTTAAAACAAGCTTTCCCCACTCTATAGTAATTAATTGTTGCCACCAGGCAGAAACGTCAGTTAATAAAACACAGCACCCTCAAAACCAAACATGAACTTAAACAGTAGATCCAAAGAATACATGGGATATATTAATAAAATAAAAACGTTTCAAGTAATTATGTTGGCTTTATAAATTCCATGCCATTTCGACAAAGATCCCAACAATATTTATCATGAAACTTGACTAACTGATTCTATTATGTATATAGGAGGGCAAAGGGCCAAAAGTGGCCAAGATAATTCTGAGAACCAAGGTGGCAGATGGGGGTAAATTTGCCCTATCAGAAACTGAGATTTATCACAAAGGTAGTAACTAAGCCAGGGCAGGATTGGCACAGGGATAGAGAATGAGCCCCATTAGAATGGAATAGAGGGACTCCCTATTGGCTAAGAATCTGCCTGCCAATGCAGGGGACACAGGTTTGAGCCCTGGTCCGGGAAGATCCCACATGCCGCGGAGCAACTAAGCCCGTGCACCACAACTACTGAGCCTGTGCTCTAGAGCCTGCGAGCCACAGCTACTGAGCCCGTGTGCCACAACTACTAAAGCCCACGCACCTAGAGCCCGTGCTCCGAAACAAGGGAAGCCACTGCAGTGAGAAGCCTGCACACCTCAACGAAGAGCAGCCCCTGCTCGCTGCAACTAGAGAAAGCCCGCCCACAGCAACGAAGACCCAACACAGCCAAAAATAAATAAATAAAATAAATAATTGTTTTAAAGAAGTTAGCATTAAAAAAAAGAGGATGTCCCAATGACAAATATACTTGAAAATATGCTCACTCTCACTAAAAACCAAGGAAATGGAAAACTACAATAAAATTTCCTTTCACACCCATAAAATGAAAAAACATTTAAAAGTGTGAAGAGCATGTAGAGAAAAAGAAACTGTGATACACTGGTGGTGGGAGTGTGAATTAATACAACTTTTTGGAGAACAACTTGTCAATAGCTAGAAAAGTTGAAGATACACTACCCAATGGCCTAACAATTCCACTACTGGCTATCATCTCTCTTCAAGGATTAGAGAATCTCTAACACAAGGGCACAGGGAGACTTCTACAAAACCATTGTACAAATAATATTACATTTTTCTTAAGGATATATATTTTTAATAAAAGTATGCGTAATAAACATATATCTAATAAAGTATATAATAAAGGTTTATAAAATATGTTATATATTATATAATATTATAAAGTGTACAGATTGCAGATATGTATGTGATGATAAAACTAAATTCAGGGTGGTGGTTACCTCTGGGGGTGGGAGGGAAATGGGACTGAAAGGGGGGCCCCCAGGGGGGGCTTTGGCTCTATCTGTAATATTTCACTTCTTAGGCTGATTAGTGAGATCATGCATATTCCTTATATTATTCTTCATGCTTTATGCATTTTCTTAAGTCTGAAGATCATTGTGATAAATTTTTTATATTAATATTTTATAATAAATATTTTTAAACTAATAACTAAAAAACAAGAATGGTTGGTAATTTCCAAGTAGCACTGTGCTTGCCAACAAGAATAAAATTTAAAGAAAAAAGTTAAAACAAATTCACTTTTGGCATTAGTTTACACGCTAATCATTCTTGGTCAAACACCTGATATCCAAAGATAAGAAAGGTAAGAATCTTTCCTCTGCTAATATATTTGATAGTTTACTTTTTTGTTATACATGTTAAAAATACTTTCTGTGTTTTAGCTGTTTCAAATGCTTTAAAAGAAACTTTGTTCAGATAACTATATGTGGTAAAACAACAATGTGAAAAAAATTCCTGATTTTAATAATTACATCAGTTAATGTAAGATTCAGCAATTAACTTACTAAGCTTTCCTCAAAGAAGCAACGCATAAAAAATTTATTTGCTCAGTTTTGTATTAATGGTGTTAGGATAATAGTAAAGAAACAGAATAGCTAACACTTAATGCTTACTCTATGCCAAGGCGCCACTGAGTGCTCACAGCAACCCTATGTGTTAAGTACTCTTCTCATCCTCATTGTACAGATGAAAAAAACTGAGGCACAGAGAGGTTAAGTAGTTTGCCTAAGGACACATAGCTGGTAAGAGACACTGGGATTAGAATCTAGGAAATCTGGCTCCAGAGTCTGTGCTTTTTTTTTTTTTTTTTTTTTTTTTTTTTTTTTTGCCGTAGGCGGGCCTCTCTCTGTTGTGGCCTCTCCCGTTGCGGAGCAACAGGCTCCAGACGCGCAGGCTCAGCGACCATGGCTCACGGGCCCAGCCGCTCCACGGCATGTGGGATCTTCCCGGACTGGGGCACGAACCCGTGTCCCCTGCATCGGCAGGTGGATTCTCAACCACTGCGCCACCAGGGAAGCCCGAGTCTGTGCTTTTAACACCACCATGAAGATGAAGAAAAATACATTTCATATTACAGTATAAATAAAATAAAATGAAAGCTATTCCAAAAACCTCGCTGACTCTTAAACACGATGCTTAACTGACTTTGACATTGGTCCTTAGCTCTTGGGAGACCCAGAAATTTCTGTTTCATGGCAATCAATTGAAGAATAACCTGATTCAAAATGTCGGCATCCCAAAGTTGGCAGACAAGGAAGTACAGCAGTTCCCACATCCCTTAACCACTGGCCTCTTACCCAGCAGGAAATGTGCGTGCACACGTCAGCTAGTCACAAGGCTGTCCCAGCCCTCACCCTTGCACATAGGCTCTGCCTCGCATGCGCAGGGGCCCTACCTGTCCGTGCAGCGCAAACTCCAGCACCAGACCCCACAGGTCCACAAAGGTCGTGGGGTGGCCCTGCTCAGCCCGTTGTTCCAGCTCCCGATAGTAGCTCGCCAGGCGCTCAGGAGAGAAGGCCTCCAGCTTGCTCTTGGCCAGGTGCTCCCGGGCGTGTCCGATGGGTCCCTTCAGGTCCCTCTGCGACCACTCAGGGTCCCCATACAGATGGGCCATCGTCCTGAGAGAACAAAGGGACATTACAGTCTGAGGTCAAGGCCCAGCATGGGTCGCTGCAACTCCAACTTCCACCCTCCGGCTTCTCCCAACACGTGGCTCTGGCTGCCAAAGCCCCACCTATCTGGAAACTGCCTCAGGGCATTCTCTCCTTCTTGATCTGTACTGTCCAATATAAATAGAATGTGAGCCACATATGTAATTTAAATTTTCGTAGTAACCACATTTTCAAAAAGTAAAAAATGATCTGAAAAATTAATTTTAACAGTATATTTCATTTAATTCAGTATCTAAAATTATCATTTCAGTGTGTAATCGATATGAAAATTAATATAAATATTCTTTTCAAACTGTTCTTTCAGAATTCACTGTGCATTTTATATTTAACACATCTCAGTTTGGACTAGCCACATTTCAAGTGGTCAATAACCACACGTGACTAGTGGCTACTGTATTGTACAGCACAGCTGTAGACTCCTACTCCCATCTTTATAGATCCGTCCTGAAGCCCTTTAAGACTCTGCTTGTCAACAGCTGTCACCTAAACTCTGAGTTTACTCCTCTTTTACTCCTTAAAGTCACATTTCGATAAGACGCAAAGGAATGAATCTCTAATAGTGAAAATTTCCACTTTGTCATAGGCAGAGTGGAGCATAGTGTGGCAATGTTGTCTTTAGGTAAAATAGCATCTCTTGACCTCAGTTTCCTCATCTATACTATACAATAAGAGAAACGACCCCAGAGAGTGTTGTGAGGATTAAATGAGGCAATGACAATTAAAGGAAAAAAAGCTACCAATTTGGAGCTCCTGGTAAGTGTCAGACATGTTAAGTGCTTTACTTGGGCTGTCCCACTCCAGTCCTATGGAGTATGTAGTATTATTTCCCCCACTTTGGAGATGAGTCGACTGAGAAGCAGGGGAAATAAGTTGCCCAAAGTCACCTAGCCAGTAAGTAGTGCTGCAGAAACTCAAACCCAGCTCCTTCTGGATCAGTAGCATGGAATGGATGTCCTGCAATGCCTTGCTCATGGCAGGACCTCTGAATGTCCGTTTCCCCGCTTTTGAGAAAGTCACTTGGCACCCATCAGAACATACTGCTCACACCCACTTAGAGGGCCCCTCTGACATCCACTCCATTTCCCCTTGGGGCCTGATCATCTCTGTTCTTCCAAGTCCCAAGGGCCCTCACCATGTAGAGCCTGAGATGCCACTGAAGTAGGTCACACAGTCCAGAAGGTCCAGCTTCTGCAGGGCCAACAGGTGGCCATAGAGAGAGGTCATGGCCCGGGCACCTCCTCCTGTGGCCATGATGCCCACGACGGGGACCTGGGTTGCACAGACACAGGTTGGCTTAACAAGGACAGGGATGGAGCTGCCTCCTGCCTCCAGGCAAGGGACCACGAGGTCAGAGCCTGAAGGAGTCAGGGTTGGAGCTAGCGCCCGGCTCCTCCCCAGCAAATGACAGCTCTCAGCCTTGGATAGATCCCCAAAGAGAGCTTCCCCATGCCCCACATCTCCCCACATATGCCCACTCCTCAGTCTCTGCTGACTGGAGTATCTGGAGAGGGCATAGCAATCAGGCACTCCCTTAAGGCGAGTGCAAGGTATCTGTACCCATATCCCCCTTCCCCCACAAACCTCATCTTCCTGTAGGTCTCTGTCCAGCTGCAGGGCCTGCTTCAGGGCCTTGGCCACCACCTGCTTCCTCCTGCTCAGGAAGGCTTTCTCCTCCGCACACAAATCGAAGCCCAAATGTACAGCCAGCTCCTTCGGGCTGGGGCAGTGGAGGATCCAAGGATCAGGGGGCACCTGCATAGCTCAGCTACTGGCTGGTCGAGCCCACAATAGCTGCCAGATAAACTCCTTGCTCCCAACCCCCAGGACCACACTTTCCACACACTCCCTAGCCCCGTGACTACCCCTGTCTCCCGCAGATATGAATGTCCCTTACCAGCTCTCAGCCTTGAGCTGCAGCTTCACTCCTGGGGCCTGAAATCAAAACAAGAGATCCCACTCAGAATGTCCTAGACCCTGAAGGGAGTGTGGGTATCCCCTGGGGGCCTTGGGGTCTTTATTCTCACTGGCACTTCCCAGCCAGCTGAGGCCACTTACATTTGTAGCAGGAACGTCAACTGTCACCTCCTCCCCCATGGCCAAGGACCTTAGGGGTACAGTGAGGTACGCATCTGAGTTGCCTGAGTTCCAGCCGTTGCTTTTAGAGGTCTGGAAAGAAAAGTCATTCATTCATTCACCCACTCAACAAATCCTTACTGAGTATCTAGACAGCGATCTGGACAGACACAGGCCCTCCCTGATAATACAAAAATAATTACAGTATTTACAATTATTGTAATTAAAAAATTACAATTACTAATCATTACAAAAATAATAATAGCTAACTGAATCACTTTGCTATACACCTGAAACTAACATAATATTATAAATCAACTAAACTTCAATAAAAAATAATAAGCATAGGGGGCTTCCCTGGTGGCGCAGTGGTTGAGAGTCCGCCTGCCGATGCAGGGGACACAGGTTCGTGCCCCGGTCTGGGAAGATCCCACATGCCACGGAGCGGCTGGGCCCGTGAGCCATGGCCACTGAGCCTGCGTGTCCGGAGCCTGTGCTCCGCACCGGGAGAGGCCACCACAGTGAGAGGCCCGCGTACCGCAAAAAAAAAAATAAAATAAATAAAAATAAAAAAATAAGCATAGCTTATATTTATTTAGTGTATTAATAGCTGATATGTGTTTATTTATTATTCTGAGTCATGTGCATGAACTTATAAAGAAACAGGTAACGAACTGACGTTAGTAAGTATTGTAAAAGGAAATAAGCAGGGTGATGTGATAGAGTAACCAAAGGTGGGGTATGTAGAATCTGTTTAAGATGTGGGGGGCGGTCAAGGAGGGCCTCTGAAGAGATGCCATCTGAGCTGAGGTCTAAAGGAGGAGGAGAAAGAGGAGCAGGCAGCCTCGGAAGGAGCCGCAGGAGGACAGGGAAAGCACTTGGTATGTTGGAAAAGCAAGAAGAGACAAATATGGCTGGAGCATCGTGAATGAGGGGGAGCATGGAAGAAAATGAGGCAACAGAGGTGCGCAGGGGCCAGGTTATGCAGGGCCTACGGACGCAGACATGGGATTTTATTCTAGGAGCCTTATCGGAGGAGACATTGAAGACTTCAAACAAAGACTGACATGGCACAGCAGCCCCCCATGCCCACGCGAGGCCCCTGGTGATCCTCCCTGTCTGCCAAGGGCATGGTGCCTAACTGGGGGAGGCTGACAAGGTCACAGGGCCCTGACCTTGGCAGGTGGACGGCCAGAGAGAAGCCTGCAGCAGGTGGAGCTGGCCCGAGGCTGGGGTCGGCAAGGGAGCTCCAGAGCCAAAACCTACCCTCAGGCACCCACTCAGCTCTGCCTCTTGGGCTGCCATGTAGTGGAAGCGGAAGGCAGAGGCTGTTCCCAGGGCAGATGTCTGTGTGTCCTCATATGAGCCCTTCAGCACCAGCTCCAGCTCCAGCTCATCCTGATCTAGGGAGAGAGTGGACAGGTTAGCACAAGGGAAACAAGAGCCCGGAACCCCAGCTAGGATCCAGGAAACCAGCAGTACTGCCCAGGCCATGGGGAGGCCAGGTGGCTGGACCATGGCAAACAGCATTCTGGAGAGGGCTCTCCCCACAACCCCCATGGGACTCCCACCTCCAGTGACAGGCCTTCCCCCAGGTCAGGGGGACTCTCCTGCCCAGAGGAGACCAGCTGCCTTTGCGCTGTGTGGGCAGCCTCCTGCTGGACAGGTTCCCCAGCCACACCCAGCAACCCTCCACACTCCAGGCAGAGGCCAGACTTCATGCTGAGCAGGTCTCACCTGCAGCCTCGGCTGTGCTCCCCGTGCTGTCCAGGTGAACATCCAGGCAAGACAGTTCTCGGGCCTGGGGCAGAGACCACGTCATAGGCAGGGGGCTCTGCAGGGGAAGCTGAGGTCTCCCCTCAACCTCACCCCCTGAGCCCCCTGTCCCAAATCCACCACGCGCAGAGCCAGAAGTAGGGTCCAGGGTAGGACCAGTCCTCCCATTGACCGACGTGCCAAGTGAGCCTGCTGCATTCTCTCTGTAACGCGTGCCAGCTGATGCCTGCAGCCCACTCAGCTCTGGCCGCTACCCTCTCCCTGAGAACTGCTGAGGTCATCAACATGCCGCTGGTCTCCATCACCTCAAATAACAGGCGGCTGGCATAGGGGTGGCTATTTTAAGGCGTATTTGAAAAAGTAATACTAGCCCCTCAAACAAGCACTCACAGGACCCCAAGGGTGGACGCCTGCTTCAGTTTTGAACGCCAGCTGCCTTACTACATGCAGGGCCTGGCTTAGCTCCCAGGTCATGCCTGTGTTGCTCGCTGAGGGTGTTCCTGTGAGTAGAAAGTTTCTAATCCTCGCTCACCGCACATTCCTGTCCACTGCAGTTTCGTGAGCTCGCTATGCTTTAGGAGAGCTGACCCTCCATTGTCCGGAGGAGAAGCTGATTGACCCCTGATCCTATCTCAAAGCTCCCTGACTGGAAGCACACCACACTGTAACCTGAGCCTGCTGGCCTGGCCTTCGAGAGACTTCCTCGCCCCCTTCAGGGCTAAGAACTATGAAGTCATCACACAGAACAGAACACCATCAGGAAATGCCTAAAATTCCCCCAATGTTCCCTCAATCCTCCTGCCTTGGGCCAGAATTCCTCTCAGCAGAGCAGTCGGGCCTCCCCTCTCTCTCCGGCCTCCCCTCTCTCTCCGAGCTCTTTAGCCCCAGGCCCCTCCGAGGCCAGACTGCAGCCCCAGGTGACCACCTAGCAGGGAAGTGGACGGGTCTTACTGCAAAGCCCTGTCCTTGCCTTGTCCCTTGCGGCCCACCCGACAGGCAGCCCCGCCCCTACCCCAGTGTCTGCACTGGGGCCCCTCCCTTAGCGCACCCCACCCCACAGGCCTGCGGAAGGTGGTTACCACAAGCACGTTGTTGGTGATGAGGTTTTCTGGGCAGCCTGACCTGGAAAAAATCAAACCATCCAGAGTCTGGCCTTGCAAAGGCAAAGGCTTCCTGCACTGATGTGCCCCCTCCCAGCCAGGCTGCACCCAGGTGGGGCCTCCCTGGGTGACACTGAGGGTTCTCTACGTCCTGCGTATGATCCAGGGTGTGGGGAGTTGCTTCTGAAGAGTGAAAGGTCCTCACCTTTCACCATGGCAGACAAAACACCAGCCTTCCTCTCCTCATTTCTCTGAGGGTCCCCCCAACCCAACTGGCAGGGGTAGGAGATGAGGAACAGCAAATCTGGGCTGGTCAGACCAATGGGAAGATCTGGGTTAAAGGCATTTTCCTAAGGAAAGCCTGGGTCCTGAGACACCCCCTGAGCTGTGTGGTATTACTCACGTTTTCTCCATCAGGAACTCCACGTCCAGCTCCTCCGGTCCCTGAAATTAAAGTTGAGCAAGCTGTCGACATGCACACATGTCTTTAGAGTTGACACAGCTCCCTTATGTATCTCATCATCCCGAGCAGCCTCTAAGGGAGGCACGGTGTTACAACTCTTCCCATTTTACAGATGAGGAAATCAAGTCTTGGGGAAAGATGGGCTACCTGCCCCAGTTACCCACAGCTAGCTAGATCCCTGCCTGGCAAGGCTGTAGGGCAAGATGTAGACCACAAGCCAAAGGAGGCTTGAAGATGCCCAGGGCCCATTTCATCTTCCTCTCGAGGGGGACCAACCCCAGAACTCTGCCCTCTCTCCAGGTCTTGGGCACCACGAGAGGGTCAGAGGCAGTAAGCAAGAGTGACGAGCCCACACCCCCCGAAGAGTTGGTCACCACGAGCTGTGTTTTGTCGCACATGAGGAGGTTTGCCATCACCCAAAACCTTCCTTCCCCGTAGATGACTAGAATTCCTCCCTTAAGTGATTCAGCCAGTAACAGTCAAGTTAACCTCCTCCTTTCCTATGAAAATGTAAATATCTCTGGGTGGGCCTTCCGTCTTCCTGCAAAGGAGTTCAAACCCAGCAGCATCCCAACAGACGGGAGAAACTGTGCCACTTCCTCAGCCTGGAGCTGAGAGGTGGGGCTGGCGGGAACCTCCACCCACCTGGGGATGCAGGGAGAAGGTCTTCCGGAGCAACCTGCCAGGGAGGACTTCAGAGACATCACAGAGAACCTTGAAGCAGGCGTCATCCGTCTTGAAGTCATCCTTGTCATAGATGCTCAGCTCCAGAACATTCTAAGGACCCGAGAACAGCAACGTAGCACGTTATTAACACATAGCGTGGCTCACACCTGTTGAATCCTCAGCCCTCCTGCCAAGGGCCGGAAAAGATTATTATGCCACTGCACTTCGTACTTCAAAATAAAAATACTGGTGAAACCTAGAAGTGGTCAAAGGAAATCCAGCAAAGTTCCTAATTCCCCCCTGCTCATTTTTGTTTTTATAAAAAATAAAACTCTTTTGAAGTTTCCCCAGCCCAACCCCACCCCTGCTTGGCTGGTTCCCTAAGGCCTGGTAGGTACCAGGCGCTATACTGGGAGTGCTCTGTGCGTGATCGCATTTAACCTCAAACAACCCAGGCAGGAGGGCTCTTGCTGCCTCCACTCCATGGATGGGTTTAGGGAGGACCAGTAGCGTGCTGTTCACACATTCTCTCACACACAGCACATCCAGGCTGGGGCACAAGGACACCCCCTTCCCCAGTTTCTCTGCCTGAGCTCCGGAGGAAGGTGTACTCTACCCCAGGAACCTTCCCAGTGTGGGGCACAGCCTGTCCTCAGGGGGGTGGCCAGGGGTCCTCTGGCCTTCACCTTGACCTGACTTTGGATCAGGAAAGTGAAGGTCTCGTTCCACACAGGATGATTGGAGTTGGTGACCGTTTTGGTCTTAAACTTTGTTCCAGGTGCGGTTGGCAGCTGTAGGATCACATAGGGGTCTGCTTCGCTCACTACCAACATCAAGAGAACCGTGTGAGACAGAATTCCTCACACCCCTCTCCAGGGGCCTCACCAGGTTCCTCCCAAGACCCCTGCAGCCACTGCGGGCAGCCCAGCCCAGCCCAGCCCAGCCCCAAGGCACTGGGCCTTCCCCATAGGACCTGGTCCTCCCCACACTCCTGGGGCCCAGGACACAGTTACTCACAGAGGTCAGCCCAGCCCAGGCCCCGTGCCTCCAGGACCCTCACGGTGAGCTGCCAGCAGGCAGAGGTCTCCCCCTGGAGAGAAATAGGCCACAGAGTCCCTCCTGCTCAGTTACGAGCCCCCCCAATTCGTGCCGAGGCTTCTCCTGAGATGCTGCTCGCTGACGCTGCCAGGCATTCTGGGGCCAAACAGCCTTTGCCCATCACTGTCCCTAGGGCCATGGTCCTGGGCCGCAGCAGTCAGGGAATGGCGGTAGAGTTTGTGGGGCACCCTCCCTTCAGGGACAGGATTGCACAGTAGAGAAAGCAGGAAACAGAGGGCCAAGGAACAGCCACCACACTGGACATGTCAGTTTGGGGTCAGCCACCCCCAGAGCTCACAGGGAGGGCAGCCCTTTGGTGAAGCACGGGACCCTGCTGCCAGGCATTCCCCTGGCCTCTGGACAGGAAGTGGGCACGTGACTCCAGGACCCTGAGCTCTGGGGATCCCAGTGCTCCGTGATGGCCTCAGGTACAAACTGTCTCTTGGGTGTGAATTGGGAAACTCCGAGAGCATCAGGCTGTTACCGTGTGCAGGGGGTGAAAGTTATTAAGGTGCTGGCAAGGCCACATCAGCCCACAGGCAAGCCCAATAAGGTGGAAGAAGAAACGGAGTGGGCAGAAGCTCGGAGGGACCAAGAAGACAAGCAGTAATAGGCGGCAGGAGGAAAAGCAGAGGGCAGGGGGGATGTGGCTGAATCCTGCTGGGACAGGGCCCGGCTGGGGCGGGGGGCGGGTATCTCAAACCCCTACTTCTGAGGTCCTTGCCACTGCTGAGATCCAGGGGGCCCTTCGGTTTCTGTTCTTCCTGAGGCCCCGCTGAGTAGATTTTTCTGGGCACCCTGCACACGTTTCTTATGATAAGGCCCTGTGATCTGAGGCAGAGACAGCACCGTGCTTGCATGGTGGACATTCAGCCTTGCATGGTTGGGAGACAGCGCTGCGATGAAACCAAAGCTCTTTCCTGCTCTGCACCCTCCCACGACCAGTCCTACTTCTGTGCGTGTGATCTGAAAGTCTAGGCTCCCACCAGGAAACGTCTCTGCTCTGCACAGGTGCTACCTGCCAGGGGCTGGCTCAGTGTCCACGGCACCGGCTCTCCATGCCCCACAGAGAAACTTAAAGGACAACGGGTCACAGCAAAGCCAATCAGGCTTGTGCCCTTGTCCCGACCCTGCTACCCTGTGTCCCCACATCATCCCTGTCTTGTGGCTTCTTACTAAGTGTCTTTGTCATCCTTGTCAGCTCTCTGGCAGAGCACACATGACCCTCCCAGCAAGGTAGGCTCATTTCTCCCTTCTTGGGGATCAATGCTAGTGACATCCACAGGCCTTAAGCCAGAGGTTGTAGTTGACAGGGATTTAGTGTCATTTTAGGCACCTGGCTCCGTTTCCTCCCCACACCCAGATTCCATCACCGCCCATCACAGAGGTGGTGCTGGCTGGGACCTGGGTTCCTGTGAGGAGTTGTGGTTCAATGCCCGCTCCAAGCCAGGATGAGGCAGAGGCAGCCAAGCTGTACCCCAGCTCCCACCCCGATCCTCAGGGCCACAGCCTGTGGGCTGCTCTAAAGCCACTTGGGGCTATTAAGAATCGCCCCCAATTGCCCTCTTTCCAGCCAGCCACCATACCCAAATTGGGTGTTGCTGCCCATTTCCCCCTCTGGTCACTGAGAGCCTCTCAATTTCAGAAAGCCCACCGTTTCCTGGAGGGTATTTTTCCTAAGATGGAACCCCATTCTCCTCACCTCTAAGAGTGTCACTAACACAGAGCACTGGAGGATGGGCTGTGACAATCACTATGATGACTGGCCATTGCTGGGGCAGAAGAGCAGGTTCCCAGCCAGATTGTCTGGATCTAAACCCTGGTCCTCTGTTTACTTGCTGTGTGAGCCTGGACAAGTCACTAAACTTCCTGGTGCCTCTGTTTCCTCATTGTAGTGGGACAAACAATAGTATCAACCTGACACAGCGTTCTGAGGCTGAAATGTGTTAATGCCTGCAGAATGCTTAGCAAAAAGTAAGCAGTTTCTAGATAATTGCTCTTATTACTTACTATTTATTAAGTGCTTGTTATGTTTCTAGGTGCTATACTAAGCATATTACATATTCAAACTCTATTTATCCTCCTGACACCCTCATGAGATAGTTCTCTCATTTCCTCCCATTTTACAGATGAGAGAATTGAGGCTCAGCAAGGTTGACTTGCGCTAGGTCACAGAGTTAGTTAAGTGATACAGTTAGGATTGAAACCCAGGTCTTCAAGGCCAGAGCTCACAACCCCTTTGTGGTTCTACACTCTTAGGACTTTGCTTTTTTGTAAACGCATGCAACTCTCATCCCCTGCCCCACGGATATCTAAACATTAGAATTTCATAGATTTGTTTTAGACAAATAGGATTATTTAGCCAACTAATGTGTTAACTGGTAGGATTCTTTTCTCCTGAGGGCTCTGGGGCTTCACCTTCCCTGGTGAAACATCCTGCCACCTGTACTACTGCCTTCATGGATAACTGACCCTGGAGGCTCCTGGAGGGGTCTCAAGCAGGGCGCCTGCACCCAGCTTCCTGTAGCATCCCGGAAGTGCCTCTCTGCTGAGAGTCCCAGCCACCCTCTCTGCCCCTGCACAGGAGCCCCAGGGCCTCCTCCATCCTCCGTGGCTCAGTGCAGGTCTCTGCCCATCACGGAGGATAGAGCCCAAGGGAGACTGAGCGGGGACCAGAGGATCTATAACCATGAGGTCTTCAGCTGGGGGAGTAAAAGGATCAGGCTGCCTTTTCTCCCTGCTGGCACCCAGTGACCCGCAGTAGGACAGCGCGGGGAGGTTGGAGAGACAGGAAGTGGGAGCTGCGGCCACAGCCTCTGAGTCAGGCTGAGATGATGCTCCTCACCCTGGTCTCCAGGGCCCCAGATTCTATGGATGCCAGTTGTCCATCCCACCCACTCCCCGTCCCTAAGCACAGATTCCCTCGCCATCTGCCTCCCACCTCCAGCCTCTGCCTAGGCAGAGACTCCAGGTCTGGGACCCAGCTCCTCCCCAGAGACCAGAATCACCTTGGTTTCAGCTATGTCAAGCTTGTTAGAATGCACCCTAGCTCCAGGCCCTGCCCTGAGTGATGCCAACAGGCTCAGGGACATTATTACCTGGTGAGGATGGCCAGGTGGTCCCCTAGGTGTCATTCTCTCCATGCCAAACCTTTGGCTCCACTCCAGGCCCAGCTGCCTCCAAGATGACAGCTCCCTGGCTGGCTGGCAGAGACTACTCCGATGGAATGGGACTGACGGTGGACCTGCCAGCCTCTGAGGAGCCACCATCCTATAAACAGCCGGAGCCCCACCTCCAGGTCACTCCCTCAGCCCAGTACCTTCTCCTCTATCCCCTGGAGGCTGAATCAACTAGCTTTTCCAGAAACTTCTGGCAAGGCTCCAGGACCTGCAGGTGGAGCATCACTTCCAGACCTGGGATGTCAGGATACAAGAGAGGGGGAAGTCAAGTCCCGGGAGCAGCGGCAGGAAGCTGGTTTCCCTGAGGCTGAGGGCAGAGGGCAGGGTGGGGTCAGAGCTAGGAAACCCCTGCAGCCCAGCCCCAGCCTGAGCCAGGCCAGCCTCTGGGGGAGGAGGGCTGAGCACCTGAGAGCAGATGAGCAGCCAGGAGCCTGGGAGTAATAATAGGGCAGCCCCAGGGGCGGGCTCCAAGCGGACTCTGGAGACCTAGCTGCAGGGGGCTCTGGACTCTGGCTCTAGGCCTCTCACTCCTTCTGTGTGGCTGGTCCTAGGAATTTAGAGGATTTCTGTTAAAATAGAGTGACAAACTTTGTAGTAAAGGTAAGAGACCAATCAGGAAACTCTTAGAATATGAATATTACAGAAAAAAGCTCTGTGAAGCCACCTGTTTAAACTATTCAGTATGCACAACATGAAATGTTCTCCTGAAATGCCATGAACTCAGTCCTTTTACTGTCAATTCGTTATATAATTGAACAATAATGATTTGTTTTTTGAGGCAAGTGAAACTGAATTAATGTTAACCTATTACAAATGGATCTAAAATGTATTATTACAGAATCAGCCAGAAAAGAACATTAGTAATGGTCTATGAAAAATCATTTGAATGAGAAATATCAATACTTTAAAAAATGTAGAACACTGCAAAGAACAACTTATTCCAAAGTGGGTCACAGATGAAGCAATGCACAAAGTCACTGGCTGGTGAGTAGCAGAGCCCAGGATTACGCTCTCTAGACTGAAAACTCTACCTCCACCCCAGAGTGGGCTCAGCCCAGCCTGGAGCCCATCCAGCAGGAACGCCCTGGTCATTGGTGGCCTCCTCCCTCAATATCTCTCTCTCTCTCACACACACACACACACACACACATGCATGCTATCCAGGGCTAAAGTCACAATTCCTCTTCTAATCAGGGAACTTATGTGACAAAGCCTCACCCATCCTGACTCTGGGAAGAAGACCCTAGTTCTGGCTCCCAGCTGGGAGGAAGGTGTCTAGATCCTAGCCTGTGCCTGTGGTCCCTGGGCTCAGCTGGCTCAGTTTCCCCATCTGTGCAGTGATGGTGTGGTAAACGCTGCACCTGAAGAAGCCCATGAAACCCTGAGTCAGAGATTCTTAACTCATATGTGTTAGTAAAGTCTGCAAAAGTAAGCTACTTTAACTACAAATGGTGAAGACCGCTGTCTTCCCATTTTTACCTCATCTGTTAGCGTTGATGCAACTGTGGTACTTTTAGGATCCAAGGAGAAGTTGGGTTAGAGACACGTACATTAATTTCGGCTCAGTGGGACATAGTTATGTGGTTTTCAGTTGGTTTCATGTATAGTGAAGTTACTGCCAGCCATTCTGGTTTAGAAATAGTTTCCAAAATACTCCTACCATGCACTGTGCCAACTCATCTGACATTGTGACACAGAGGTGTAGGCAGAGGCTGCGCTGCAATACAAGAAGAATAAGGTAGAGGAAGATAAACAAGGTCTGAAACATACAGACCAAAACTAGCCTGTGGAAAATTCGTCCAAACAGACACATGAAATCCTAAGTGGAAAATACAATCTTGTTGAAATATGATCAAAACATAAGTCTCCTGAAAGAGATGTTTTCAATCATGGCTTAAATGCTTTTTTTCCTTTATTTGATGGGAATTTCAAGAAATAGAAGTTATCATATTCCTGTACTACAAGCAGCTAGCACATCTAGATAGCTCAGAGAGGAGGGAAACTGGTTAGAGGTTGTAACAGATTTTATTTTTCTAAAGATGATTGCAACAATGTCTCCTGTCCTCATGCTCTTACCCCTCCCTCATCAAGAGGTGGACACAGATTCCCTTTCTCTTGGACCTTTTGGGCTGGAGCTGCTAACTAATAGGATGTGAGGAACTTGACGCTGCTTGACTCTGAGGTTAGGTAACAAAAGGCGATGTAGCTTCTCCTTGACGGCTGGAAAACTCCCACTGAGAGCCACCATGACAGATGTCCCAGTCCCTGAGGCTCCGTGCTGTGAGGAAGCCAGGACATGTGGAGAGGTCAAGAGTCCTCATCCCCAAGTCCTCCCAGTCCAGGGCATGGGGATGCATAAGCCTTCAGGTGATTCCAGCCCAGCTACTGAGTCACCCCCAGCCTGTGCCCTTTCTGAATTTTTGACCCACGGAAACTAGGAGCCTAATAAAGGGGTTACTGTGTTATGTCATTGAGTTTGGGGTGGTCTGTTACATAGCCATAGTAACTAAATCAGAGCTTTTCTCAAATTTGCTAACAATCCTAAAGTTTTACATGGCATCGTCAATGAAGAGCTGTGAAGCAGAAGGAGACTACAAATAATTAACTATTACTAACTATCAATAATTTTAAAAACCGAATTTCGTTCATCCAGGCTGGGGGAAGATTTCTTTCTATTTGATCTGAAGAAGATGATTTTACAAAATTTTCCTCCCATCACACGAAGGGTTAATACTATCAAGGTGCCTCATCACTGTTGCTGTTGACCTTGATCATCTTGCTGAGATAATGTTTGTCTATCTTCTCTATTGTAATTTACTTTATTCCCACTTTTCATACTGTCCTTTTTGGAACTAAGTCACTAAGCCTAGCCCACACTTAAGAAGTGGGAGTTATATTCCATCTCCTTTAGAGGGGAGTATCTATATAAATCATTTGGAATTCTTCTGCATTGAAGATTGATTTGCCTCTCTCCCTCCCTGACTTATTTAATTCAATCATTTATTTACACCTGTGTGAACCTATGGATATTTATTTATGCTTTGGGTTATAAATACTATGTTAGTTATTTTGTTGCTCAAATTTATATGTATATGTAATATATATTAAAAATATTACAGAGGCTTCCCTGATGGCACAGTGGTTGAGAGTCCGCCTGCTGATGCAGGGGACACGGGTTCGTGCCCTGGTCCGGGAGGATCCCACATGTTGCGGAGCGGCTGGACCCGTGAGCCATGGCCGCTGAGCCTGTGCGCCCGGAGCCTGTGCTCCGCAACGGGAGAGGCCACAACGGTGAGAGGTCCGCGTACCAAAAAAAAAAAAAAAAAATTACATGTGTATATATAAACCTGTGTGTGTATAATATATATTATATATTAATATATATTAATCCATGTATGTACACATATCCATAATTATTTCTACATGTATCTATCAGTATCTATATTAAGTTAAACATAAGTTCATACTCATAGAGTCTCTAGCTCTAACCCAGTACCTTGTGCTTCATTCTTGTCATCTGGGATTTTTCAAAAAATGAATTAATAATTAAAAATCTAACAACAACAAACATAAAACTCAAGACCCAGATTGTTTGATGACAAGTCTTACCAAGAATTCAAGGAATAGACACAATTTTAAAAGTGCATTTGAAAGGCACCAAGAAAAACAAAAAAAAACCCCAAAACAGGAAAGACGTTCCTAGATAGAAAGACTCCATATCTAAAGATGTCAATTCTTTCCAAAAATAACCTAGACATTTAATGACATTCCAGATGAAATCCCAGAAGTGTTTTCACTGAAATTTGACAAGCTGAATCTAAAATATATAGAGAGAAGGTCAAAAATCAATAATAGCCAAGACAATTCTAAAGAACAGGAAGGGGATTTGCTTTACTATAAATTAATTATAGCTGAGTCTTGGTGCAGGAGTAGACAACTGGACAAATACAACAGATTATGGAGCCAAGAAACAGATCCACACATATTTGGAAAATCGTTAGATGAGAAAATTGGCAGTGTAGATCAGAGGGGACAGAACTATTCATTAAATGGTGCTGGCAAAAACATAATTTAGGTCTTATATTTAAAAGTAAAGGGTTTGCTATTTACAACATCAGAATAAAAAGGGATTTCTTAAGCAAGAAACAAAAACCACAGACCATAAAGGAAAACAATCATATACTCAATTACATTAAAATGTAATTAAAATACAAAACTTCTTTTTAATGAACGACACCTTCCAAAGTTGAAAAAATAAGCTACAGACTGAGGGAAGATATTTGCAATACATTTAGTCAAAAAAGTATTGGAATCAAAAAATATCTTTATACATTAACACATCAGTCAGAAACAAAAAAAGAAATGAATAGAGAAAATGGGCAGAGTATATAAACAGGCACATCACAGAAGAGCAAATGGGAATAGCCAAGAAACACACAAAAAATACGTGCAACTTCACTAGCATTCAGGGAAATGCAAATTAAATTCACAGTAAGATACTACTTCATACACATCAGATTTGCAAACATTCAAAAATCCTACAAGATTTTTAAATGATGAAGTAAATTAAGCATTTTTCCTTCTCCCATTAGAAGTCTTCCAAAAGCAACATGAGAAAATAATAACAGAAACACAAACTCCACCTCTGATAAAACTAAAAGACATTTGAATCCCAACCCACAAAATATCTGGAAGGACTGCCAAAAGTAATGAAGATCAAGCAGTAGGGGCAGGTAGAGAAGCAAGGATGCAGGCGATGCCTGAGCTCAGAGGCAGTTCAGAGTGTACATACCAAGGTGCAGAGCACACCCTGAATTGCAGAGCCAAAATAAGGAATGGGGTGCATGGGCTTGTGGCGGGAACTTCCCTGGGATTGGTGTAGTTATGAGAAATATAGGAGGTAGGGCTGATTGATAAATCCCAGAGACAAGTCCCTTGAACACGAAGCTGAGTATTCCAACACCTGAGCAGACCCACAGCTGCCTATCTCCTTTGGCTGCATAATGGTGAAGTAAAGGAACCCATCATGCTCACTACCCTAAGACACAAAGATGGTTCCTGTTGAGGCACTGGTTGCTCAGGCCTCTCCTTGAGCCTTGAGATTAACTTTCTGTAAATAGTTTGTATCTGTTATTAGTGTTCCCCAGAGAAACAGAACTAATAGGTTGTGTGTATGTATGTATATATATATATATATATATATATATATATATATAAAGTGAGTTATTATAAGGAATTGGCTCATGCAATTATGGAGGCTGACAAGTCCACAAACTGCAGAGTGGAGACCCAAGAGAGCCAATGACGCTCATGAAGTCTGAGGCAGCTGGCTGAAGAATTCCCTCTCACTTGTGTAAGCCAGTCTCTTTGTTGCAGCCAGGCCTTCAACTGATTGGATGAGGCCCACCCACATTATGAAGGACAATCTGCTTTACTCAAATTTAAATGCTAATCTCATCCAAAAACACTCTCCAAGTTGACACATAAAATTAACCATCACAGTGTCCTGGGTTTGGTTCCTTAGAAGCAGAGCCTGAGGCAGGGATTTGGATGCACTTGTTTTATAGAGGAAATCCTCTCAGGAGACTAGCAGTGAGGGGAATCAGGGCAGGAAAACTAGCTAAACAGCTCTAAGCTGCAGTCTAGCTTCAGGACGATCCTTTGGAGACTTCTGCAGCACAAATGACACCAGATTGTTTCCATTTTGAAGCAAGGGGCCTGGTTCTCTGAACTTCTGTGTCTGTTGGATGTTGACTGTGGGCTACCCCAGAGTTGGGGGTATGAGTGAGAACATCACTTCCTTGGGTGGGTGGTTAATTTTATGTGTTAATTTGGCCAGGCTATGGTGCCCACTTGTTTGGTCAAACGCTAGTTTAGATGTTGATATGAAGATATTTTGTAGATGTAACTAATTTATAAGCAGTTGACTTTGAATAAAGGAGTATTGTGGGTGGGCCTCATTCAATCAGTTGAAGAGCAAAAACTGAATTTTCCCAAAGAAGCAGGAATTCTGCCAGACACTGGAACATCAACTCTTGCCTGAGTTTCCAGCCTAATGGCCCCTCTACCAATTTCAGACTTGTCAGACCTCACAATCACATGCGCCAATTCCCAGATCCCCTCCTCCTGCCGCCCTCTCCAACTGGTTTTGTTTCTCTGGAGAAGCCTCACTGACACAGCAGGTAAGGGGGCTTTTATTCAGCCAAAGGTAAATCTCTGGAGGAGTTACCTGTTAGTAACTAACCATTCCAGCAGCTGGAGGATGGGTGCACTGGTCTGATAAAGAGAATCTGGGTAGGGCACCACTAGCATCCACTACAGTCCATCTCCTGCACCACTCAGATCCACTTGCTTCCCACATTAAATTCATTCAGTCCAGGAACAGCTTTTCCATGATTCTTGTTGGTCACAATTTCTGGGGACACATACAAGAGAAGAGTTAGTGGAATACAGCTTGTGCTGCTACCATTGGTCCCACATCTGTAGCTGATACTGTCATCTTCCTCCTCTACCCCCCATTCTAGGTCCTCCTCCCTCCCGAGCCAGCACTTTTGCTGGTCCAAGCAGCTCTCATGGTGGGGTGTCCTAGACCCTCATCCCTGAGGGATCTGGAGTTCGGGTTACCACGCTATTATCAGACCATGGTTGCTACAATTGCCCATTTTATAGTTAAAACTTTGTGTGAGAAGATCAAGGATCATCTGATGCCAAGCATATTCCTCCCTGCTCTCGTTCTAGAGCAGCAGCCCTAGCTCCTGACGATCAGAACCAATTACCCCTCCCAGTATGGTAAGTCATTCCTTTCTTTGCCTGCTGATCTATCAGCATAAGGAGCCCAAAGTGACAAGGCAGCAGCCATAGTTTTAAGTTTAGTGTGACTCATTGTGTCCCCATATAGAAGCTCCCTGGCCTGGGAGAGCTGGGAAGAGCAGCCCAGGGAGGGGTGTGGCTGTACCCAGCACAGATTGGGTTAAATCTCCAGCCCTTAGAGGGACAGGGTGTGGCCCCCAAAGTCTCTGGCAGCCTCCTTCACCCCTAACCCCCGCTGTGTCAGGGAGCCTTGAGGTCCGCAGCAGGGTACTGTGGTCCCATGGGTACAACCAGCTGTCAAAGTCTTTCCCCTGGGACACCATGTGGGAAAAAGAACAACGTGAGGAGAAGTCAAAAGAGTTTACTGCCCTGGACACCTGCCTCGGGGAGAAGAGGAGGAGGTTAGGAGCAAGTCACAGAAGCCCCCCACGAGGCCTCCAGGTCGGGCACAGGCTGGCCTTCATGTTTGGAACTGGAAATACCTGGGGGCTGGTCCCCACCTGAGAATCCAAGGGGTCCATTGCTGTTTCTCTTCCTTTCCCAGGAGTGAGGAGAACGTCATTGGTTCTATGGTCCATCATTATAACGATTCACTGACACCCACTCTTAACCCATCTCTTGCTTCATTACACTCACTGGGGAACAGTCAATCCTGGTGGAATCCAACTCTTGGACCACTTGGCACCTGCACTCACTTTAACCCCATGACCAGGAGCCTCAAGTGGGTCCCTGTGTTGCCCAGCAGGCCTAGCTTAGTCCCTTCCCCTCTGCCACTCCAATAACTTGGTCATACTTTCTCCACCATCCATAAACCTCTAAAACCTCCTCCAAACTCTCAGCTGATGACCTTGATTCCTATTGCTAATTGCTTCTGTGACCTATACTGTCTCCAATTTTTCTCCTCTCGTTTTCTTGAACCAGTCAGGTTTCTCTCCCACTGCTCTACCAAACTGCTCTTGTCAAGACCTCCAGTCAAAGCCCGTGGCTAGTCCAGTGATGAGTTCTCAGTCCTCACCTTACTTGACGTCTCAGCAGCATGTGACACAGGTGATGGTGTTTTCCTTGAAATGTTTTCTTCCCCTGGCTTCCTGGACAGCACACTAACCTGGTATTTCTCCTCCTACGCCACCCACTCCTTCTCAGTCACCTTTGCTGCTTCTTCCCACCTTCCTGACCTCTCCAGACCTACATCAGTCCACACAGCAAACAGGTTCCCGAAGAGTCTGGATGCCCAGCCTACTCTCCAGCTGCTGTTTTTCCCACCCACCCTATTCCTGCAGCCTTGGTCTCCTCCCAGCCCATAGAAGGGTACCTGCACGGGGGTGATGTCCTCTGGGGCAGCTGGAAACATCAGGACCTCAGGCTGGCGCAGGCCATGGCAGCAAGTCCTTGGCCATGCTGTCCCTCAGTGAAAGGGGATCTTGGGTCCTGGGGCCCCATGCTGCCTCTCACCCCTGAATTCACTGAGGGACAGCTGCTTGTCTGATGGGAAGCTGCTTGTCCAGACACAGCTCAGGACTAGATTCCCAAAACCGGGCATAGTCTGGGAGTGAGAGAAGGAGCCTCCAGACAGTGGCACTGTCACATGCAGGCCCCTCCGTAGCCAGCATATGGGGCATCAGGGGGGACTTGAGAAGGCAGCCAGCCCGCAGCAGTTCTTGCTCAGAGGAAGGCACAGATCAGGAAAGGGGGGTGCAAAGGAGGCATCTAGGCTAAGGTCATCAGGGGCTTCCACTGAGCCTGAAACTTTGCAGGTACCCCTGGGAGCCACTTGCCAGCCTGGTGAGGGCAGGGAAAGGGGCTTGTGTGAAGGCTGTGGCCTCAGCTGTTGATCCCAGCAGGTAATGCAAGAATGTCATGTCTGAGGAAGGCCAGGTGGTCTCTTAAGCTTGTACTTCCCACCCCCTCGTGTCACAGTACTCCTATGCTGCCACGTCACTGACCTGAATCACTAGGGTAAATGGACAAGTCTGCAGGGAACTGGAGGAAGATGGCCAAGAGGGCTCCAAACGCCCCAGGCCCTTCCAGGCACCTTGAGGGCTGGGGAACTCGATGTCTCATTCAGGAATATCAGAGAACAGCAGCCACTGGCTGGGAAGACCTGCCCTCGGCTACTGGTTCACTCTGCCCCTCCCCTCCCGCCCTCGCTCCCTGGATGGTGGCAGTAACAATCCCACAGGGACGGGGCCTTAAATCTGCCCAGCTTAGCAAGGCAAGGATCTGTTAGCAGATCAGGGCTCCACCCTCTGGGTGGCTCCCACACTGAGGGCTTTTTCCTCACCTCTTGGATGTCAGCCAGCACCACCAGAAACCTCTGGTACAGCTAATAAAAAAAAGAGCACACACACGTGCACACAGGGACACACGAAGATGGACCACCTCCTCCCATGCCAGGAGGAAGGAGGGAGAAGGGGAAGATTCATGGAGCAAAAACAAGGAGTGAGTCCTGTCAAATGTCCCCAGAAGGCCAGGTCCTTCCCCTGGCCTAGGGGAGGGTTGGGGCCTAGGGACAGGTCACTCTGGCCAGCATTACCAACCAGCCCTACCCCCAGCAAGGTGGCAGCAACAAGCCCAGGTCTGAGCCGGGTTGCTCTGAATGTACCTGGCAGGAGGCGGGGAGCGATGAGGACCAAATCATTTAGGACCAGGCAAGAAGTCACTTCTCTGCAGCTCAGAGCCATCAACACCCCTTAGAAAAGAGCAACCAGCAAGTACTGAGAGCACGCAGCACGCCAGCCACTGTGCTCAGCGTGTCACACACCTTGTCTCATTTCACCCTCATGGCTCCCTGTAAGTGGCCTCTGAGAGCCATAGTGAGGCCAGCAGCTCTCAAACCAAGAGACTCCTTACCCTTGCAAGTGTCAGAGTCAACTTGTCCCGTGGAAGAGTGGACCTCAGTTCTGATTGATGGTGCATTTGGGGACTAAAAAATATATTGGTGATCAAAAAACTCAGATATTGTTAATAGAATGTTATGGAACAATGATTCCTAACTTTTTCTATTATTTAGGATATGCAGTTGCTGATTTAACCTAAGTTATTTTTTAAAAAGACAAATCCAGAAAATGTACTGTGTAACTGAAAATTGTTAATTTTTTTAAAATGCTGGGAAGCGATTTCAGCCTGTCCTCTGTCTTTCATCTTGAAACTGGAATTCTCCTTTGTAAGATTTTACTTACCCCCCGCAGCACCAAACCCATCAGATATAAATACAGATTAATAATTTCATAACATCACTTCAAGGCTCTGAAGTTCTCTAGAACTGCATCCCTTCGGCCTCCTCCCCAAGTCCCACACTGCCACCTGAAGGTCACCGCGCCATTGCATGGCCAGTGACCTGACCAGGAGCCGTCACAGCCCAGAGCTTATACACAACCCTCTCAGACATGAGATGACAATCAAGAATTACCAAATATATAAAGAAGGTAAAGCCCATGAAGGAGAGGCAACCTACCCCAAGGAAACTGTTCACGTAACAATCAGGAAAATACCATGAAATGCACATATTAACACCATCTGAGGGAAGTGGTGAAGCATTTCCATGCAATGAAAACAAGTAGTTTTGGAAGATCCTATTAGGGAACTTAAACAGGGAAATGTGACAGTCAAAAGTTAAACAAACCCCCCCAAAAGATGGATAGAGAAGCAGGCTGGACACAGGTGGAGTATATATCTGTGAACCAAAAAATCATGCAAAGAAAATCCCCAGAATGCAGCACAAATGAAAAAAATAGAATGTGTAAAAGGAAAGTTTAGGGATACAGAGAATCGATTCATACATTTCAATATCCATTTAATAGGAATCCAGAAAGAGAATGAAGAAGAGTAGTGTTTTGATACAATTGGTAGACAATTTCTTAGAGCTTTAAAAAGACATGAATCTCAAAATCGAAAGAGGTCACTGATTTTTTTTTAAGTTCCCAGTTTAGAAAAATCATAGTGAAACTTTTGAAAATCGAAGACAAAGAGAAAACCCTAAAAATTAGGTAAAGATAAATTACCTACAACGGGATGAGAATTCAGCTGACATCAGGCTGCCCTGATTGCATCAGGCAATATGCAATGCAAAGAGGCATTAAAATCTGAGTAGGGACTTCCCTGGTGGCACAGTGGTTGAGAGTCCGCCTGCCGATGCAGGGGATACGGGTTCGTGCCCCGGTCCGGGAAGATCCCACGTGCCGCGGAGCTGCTGGGCCCGTGAGCCATGGCCGCTGAGCCTGCACGTCTGGAGCCTGTGCTCCGCAACGGGAAATGCCACAACAGTGAGAGGCCCGCGTACCGCAAAAAAAAAAAAAAAAAAAAAAAAAAAAAAAATCTGAGTAGATGTAAGCCTGAACCAAGAATCCTACCCTAATCCAGACTATATAAGTCAGGGCAAGAAAAGACAATTCCAGACATATCAGGTCTCAGAAGGTTTACATTCCACAGATCCTCCACTATAGAACTATTCAATTTTGCACTCCAACAAAAAGAAAGCTAAACCCAAAAGGAAGACAGCAGGTCAAAGGATAAAGACTCATAAAAGATGTGTAAACACCAGCTAACCAGATAGCCTATCTCAAGAGCAATTGTCCCCAGTGAGCAGGCATGAGAGAACCAAGCTACCCCGATCCCACACCAGCCAAAAGCGCTGGCCTGTTAGAAGCCCAGCTCCCTCAGCAGCGCCCCCTCCCCGGTTCATGTCCAGCTGGAGGCCTGGGGTCCCAGGCCAGGCTGGAGGCACAGGCTGGGATCTAGACACTTTCCTCCCAGCTGGGAGCCAGAACTAGGGTCTTCTTCCCAGAGTCAGGATGGGTGAGGCTTTGTCACATAAGTTCCCTGATTAGAAGAGGAATTGTGACTTTAGCCCTGGAGAGCATGCGCGTGTGTGTGTGTGTGTGTGTGTGTGTGTGTGTGTGTGAGAGAGAGAGAGAGAGAGAGAGAGAGAGAGAGAGAGAGAGAGAGAGAGAGAGAGATTGATTGAGGGAGGGGCTGTAGTCAAAGAGAGCACTCCTGGCAGAGGGGAGTGTCGAGTGAGTAATGAGTATGACAGCCGGGCCAGTGAAGGGCCCCAGGTGGCTCAGCGCTGGGTGGGGTGTGGGTGAGAAGAGGCCACAGAGGCCCTAGCCAGAGGGAGAGGGCCTAGAGACCTCCACACTAAGCCCAGTCAGGGTGGATCTCCTTTCCACACACCTAAAATCTGCCCATGCTGGAGAGGCTCCAGGTATTTGGAAGGTCCCGGGTGGGTCAGAAGAAATGATAAACAGACCCTCCAGAGAGAGAAACAGATCCCCCAGATCGGTGGGGTACATCTGTGGAAAAGGCAGGAACTTGGGCCTCTGAGTTCCCAGCCAGGCTTCCTCTACCTCTGCCCATCCCTGGCAGCTGACAGGCCCCCACTAGGAACACGAACACACACGCAGGTTCACGTTCGCTCCGCCCCTGATAAATGGATACGCCCTCTAGACACACCCATTTAGCTTCTGGGAAGGGTGAGACTATTTGCACGAGGTGGCAGCTGTACCCCTGATAAGAGAATGTGACCCAAGTTTAAAGAGCGAAGATGAGTAATTAGCAGGGGGACCCACCAGCTGGAGCCCAGCCAGGAGGGGATATCATCCCACAGGGTCCACCACCCCTCCCTCTACCAAGCCCTGGTCCGGAGCCCACAGTCCCTCCTCTGTCCCAGTCTCCCGACTCCAGCCCGGGTCAGCCTCCAGCCCTGTCCCCAGCCTGTTTCTGGCCCAGAGCCAGCTGGAGGGCCTGCCGCACAGTCTCCACGTTGTTCAGAACGTTGTATCGACTCAGGGCCACCAGCCGCTCAAACTCCTGGGGCTCGTAGGTGAAGTTCATCATGCCATAAGGGGTGTCTGGCCCATTGATGACAAAGTCCCCACAGGCTTTCTCCTCATCCGTCTGTCGTTCCACACCTGCAGTGGGACGAGGAGAGAGTCTGGGCTAGGGCACTCTGTGGCTAGGAGCTGCCAGTCCAGAAACCCCCCTTCCCTAGAGCATCTGGCTGGTCTGTGGGCTCTGCCTGGGGCCACATCTCAGCTCTCTCGCCCACCGGGAGGAGCCGGGCCAGTGTGCATGTCGAGTCCAGGAAGCAGTGGCCAGCTCGGGGCCTCCAGGAGGTACACTGTCCTGGGTCCAGCACCCCATCACCACCCCAGGGCTCCGTGGGCCAGACCCAGACCTTCCCCTCACCTGGGGCCAGGTGTGTGCGGAAGGTACGGTTGACCAGGGGGAAGTGCAGCACGATGGGTGAGCGCGGGTCCTCGGCCTTGGCAAACAGGTAGCATTCACGGGGCTCCTTCAAGTCCTCAGGGGGCACCTCAGTGCTGGGGAAGGAGATGCCTCGGTCCAGGCAGTACTTCCCTGTCATCTGTAAGACCTGGGCAGACACCCAGCCCTGTGAGCTTCCGGCCCTGCCTGAGGCGCCCGGGACTCACGCTGGCCCAGGCTTCAACGCCAGCCCTGTCTCCCAGCAGCCGAGTGACTACAGGCAGCAAGAAGAGAACCCGCATCTGGGCGTGCAACCTGTCCATCACCCCACAAGCCTCGAGGGAGCCACTGATAGAGACTCCCTGGAGGGACCCTGATGGCTCTGTTGTTACCATAGCAACAAAGGGACAGCAAACCTGAACCCAGGCCCAGATAGGAGCAAGGAATCCTATCAGGAACAGCAGCGTACAGAACAGGGGTCTTCTCTTCACCGGGATAAAGTCTCCCGAGGACTCCCTCTGGCCTCCTCTCCTGAACCCCACTCTCCTCCATCACCTCAGCAGTCCTCCCCTTCCAGCTGGGGAGACCAATGCTGCTGGCGGTGTTCGCAAGGTGCCTGCCCAGGCCCTTCTCGACACCCAGCCAGGCTGCCTTAGCAAGGACACCCCACCGCGCACCGTACCTCAAAAGGGGCATCCAGGGAGTAATCGAAGGACAGAATGAGGTCCACGGCTCTCTGCGGCTGCAGGCTCAGCGGGAACGGAGAGTTGATGGCAAAGCCTCCATCCACCAGGTACAGACAGTCCCGCATGGGAGTGAGCTGGTTGGGGAAGGCGTCCGGGTGCGAATCTGCAAGAAGACAAATGCTTGCTCTCTGCAGCAGCCCTCTTCTCTGCGCACTGGGAATGCCCCACTGTTGAGCGTTCTCCTCTTCCTACAGCCACGGGGTCTCCCACCGCAGCCCCCGGCCTGCCTTCCAGCACAGTCATCACAGTCCTTCCCCCACTAGCCCCTGGGTAGCAGGAGCACCCCCCCGCCCAGCCCCCAGGTCAAAAGGTAGCACTGGCCCCAGGGAGCCAGAGGCACAGGCAACAGGCGGGACCCCGCCCAGAGCAGCACCCACCTTTCCAGGCCAAAAACTCCCTGCCAGACACATAGTCCTTGTGCAGGCAGAGGCCCTGGGTGAAGTTCGAGTTCTGGGCTGAGGTGAAGCGGTAGGTGAATATGTCCAGCACAGCCTGGGAGAAGGGCCCTTGCGGGGTGAAGAGCCTGGTTTGCAGCCTCGCTGGGTCATGCAGCTGGAGCTTCTGGCGGTCGTCTAGGTGGGGGTGGGATGGTGAAATACTGTGAGAAGCCCTCCTTTGTCCAGCGGTCCTCACATCTCAGGGGAGCCCCTCTGTCTCCTCCCCACGTCTCTCCTCCTTCCCCACCCTGCCTCCTGGGTCTCTGACCACTGCTTCCCCGAACCCCTTTTAAATGACTTTTTATTTCATGTTCCCCACGTTTTGAAAGTTGACATGCACGTATTAAAAAAGTTGAAAGTTGACATTGCATGTATTAAACAATATCACCTACCCTTAAAGTTGCATATGCAACTTCCAACCAGAATTCCACCCATTAAACACCCACTGAACAGTTACCATGTGCTGTGGTGGCCACTGTGCTGGGCACAGGGATGCAGAAGTGAACAGGGCCTGACCCTGGCCCTCCAGGGCTCATGGCCTATTTAGGGGAGAATCTAAAGAGGTAATAAATGGTGACAGTGTCCCAAGGTAAGGACAACATGGGATGTGCCTACGGTTCTAGGGAACCTTGGTGGTCAGACCCTCGATCAGCCTGGAGGGATGGACTGGAACAGAGACGTCCCCTGACAAAATGATGTCTGAGCTGAACTTTAAGAACTGAGCAAAAGTTATCCAGGGAAGAAAAGTGGGAAAGGTATTCTACGCAGCAGGGGCTGAAGGGGAGCTCTGAGGTGGGGGGACAGAGTGTCAACCAGATACCCAGTGGCCCTGGGCTGAGTTGATCTAATGGGAGCCCAAGCAGAGAATTAAAGGCACAGGTTTATCACGGAGCACTCACAACTCCCACTAGGTTTTCTGACATGGGTTCCCCACCCCTTAGCCTCTCTGTAGACCTCTGGGCATCCAGAGACCCTAAGCTAGAAGTCATTTTCTCAATATTTCTCTGAACCGAATAGGACATCCAAGTCCTTCACTGCCTCCTCCCACATTGCTCATGCTTCTGCCAGGGCGCTGCTGCTGGAAAGAGGTATTGCGGGGGCTGGCAGGGGGGAGGGGAGGTTTGGGGGAGCAGGCTCTCTGCCCTCACCTGTGATGTTTACACCGCCTCTGCACCTCTGTAGGAAGCCGAGGTCCCAGCCGGCGGTCTTCAGGAAGATCTCATCCAGGCTGGCTGCAAACGCACTGCCCCATATACCTAAGGAGAAAGGCAAAGTCCCCGGCCCTCACAAGTCCTCCACCGGCATCACCAACTCAGGGCCTGGCGCCTGCCCTGTCCCCTTGTCCCCAGGCCTCTGGCCTAGACTCACCCTGCAGGTAGCAAATCCGGGGCTCGGGGCGGAGCTGCAGTAGTCGCCCCATGAAGAACTCTGAGCTAAAGAGCTCAGTGGGAACATAAGCGCCATACTTGGGTAAGCCAACCTCATGGGGGGTGAACTCGCACCACTCTGGGGGCGCAAAGAGGAGGGAATGTCACCAGGGGCTTCCCACCAGGACCCCATGCTTCCCCTGAGCCCCTGTGACTTAGCAGGTGTCTTTGCCTGGTCAAGAGCAGGAGGCAGCAAGCCCACTGTGCTCCAAGGCTCCCACCTGCACCCTGACAGCCCTGGCCTCTACATCCTCACACTGACCATTGCTCCCACCGGCTTCCTAGGTCCCCACGCCCGGGCACCTGCAAAGTCTTCCCCACTGATGTTGCTGCGGACGTTGACACTGGCGTAGATGGGGTAAGGGTTCTGG